AAATTAATATTCAAGGCTATGATCTATATTTTCAATTCGATCTTTGAAGAGGGATGTCGTAATCAAATTGCGTATCTATTTTAGGTAGGTAAGACTTTTAACAATTTCAATCTCTATCAAACTCCTAGATCTTTTGAGATTCATTGAATCTTATCAATGACATGTTTAATCTAGATTAGGCTCTCACTTTTATGGATGGGATGTTGATGATCAAAAACGAGATGTGAATAATCATGCAAACCTGCTTGAAACCCTCAATGTCATTTATGATCTCACATTATCATATCAGTTAACCACACACATTCCATTAACAACCATAAACTCGAGTTTGTACCATCATTTCAACTTTGTAGTCCCAAATTAGTGTGTTGGTTAACCATACACGCTCCACTAACGACTCACAAAGAAACAATGTGTATTTTCATGGATTAGCATACAACTTCACATTTTTTTCCCTAAGTCACTAGAGTGGGATTTTAATGTACATCCTAGTACTTATAAGTTATACTTTTAATGTGATTAATGTCCTATCAATCCCTTTCGGATAACGATAATCCACTATACAAAAAAAATGGTGGATGAAAATGACACTCACTCAACGGTCATTTTATAAGCCGTTTTCTTATACCTCTCTTATAACATGGCTTCATGATTGAGGCTTACTCCTGGATTGATTGACATATTATTAATCTTATACATATAGTACTATAACTCTTATATATATATATATATATATATATATATATATATATATATATATAAGGGTGTATTTTAAACATTTTAATAATACAAGGTTAGAATTTAATTAATTGATTTAACTTTTAAATAACTAATATTCAAATAATTAAGATTAATAATATTTTATGGATTATAATTATCTTAATTAATCAATTAATTAAATAATATTAATTCCATTTTTCTCTCATTCTATTTTTGAATTAGGATTTGTCCTATTACATATTTAAAAGTTCAGATTTTAACCATTTAAAATAACTATTAAATATCAAGTAATTATCCTAAAACCATAAAAAGGGAACAAAATATCGGATCTGACAAAATAGAGGGCGCGCCGTGCCATGTAGAAGGGCGGGGGGCGCCTGAGGAATAGAAGGATTTTTCAAAATTTTGTTATTGATTCCAATTTCAGTTATGCACATAATAGAAAGAACCCTAGGCTCTGATATCAGTAATATGTTTTCTAGGTTACATTAACCTTAATTGCATGGCATAAATATCATAAAATCTAATTATGGGCATTTGCTAGGGGTGAGCATTTGGACCGGATCGGATTGGACCGGACCGGATCGGACCAGCTCTTGGACCGGACCGGTTACGGAGAATATTGTGGACCGTGGACCGGACCGGATGAATCGTGTCCGGGTCCGTGTCTGTGTCCGGGTCCGGTTCCAGGTCCGGGTTTTCCGGTTCTTGGACCCGTTTGGACCGGCAACAATTTAACACAAACATACATATATTGTCATCTAAATCTAACATGTTTACCAACTAACATATATATCAAGTTTTCCAACAAAAGTTAACAATCTTAAGTCCTTAACACAAACATACAAAAGTAATTACCGTAACACCAAAAATCATGTTTTAAACTTTAAAATTAATCCAAGTAACAAACGTCATAATCTAATGTTCCATTGGCCTCCTCCTGATATCATTGTCATCTAAATCTAACATGTTTAAACCTTGTGCAATCTCTACATAAACACAAAATAAAAATGTTGTTAGCATTTAATAAAAAGTAATAATTGTATAAAAAAGAACAAGTATAAATTTTTTACCCAAAGTTATATCATCATCCATCAAGATGTCGTCAACGTTGTCAATTATTGGATTTGTAGACTTTCTCATAACAAAGCTTGAACTATCAACGTCGATAAACTAGTCCGATACTCACTTACAACTCTACCACATGTGCTAAACGCGGACTTGGACGCCACACTTGAGATTTGTATAGCCAATATATCTAACAACAAAAGAATTAAATTGTAACGAAATTAATTTATAAAGAAACTATTTAAGACTAAAAAAAAGTAATCACCTTTCGCCATCTGAGCAACTGTCGGGAACCTAATCGCGTTTACTCTCCACCAACCGAGAATTGAAAAATCTTTTTTATAATTCTCTATATTCTCTTTCAAGTAGGTTTGTAACTTGTTATCCATTGGATCCGGTACCCTATCAAGATCCCTTTCACATGATTTATCTGTTAAAACATAAAATTCAGAATTACAGTCTAAAATAATTATTGAAAAGCTGAAATATTTCAGCTTTGATATCCTAACTTTGATTGATTGTAACTCATTGAATATAATATCAAAAACAACAAAATTATAGTCTAAAATCATCTACAAACTCTAAATTCTACGTTGAAAAAAACCACATGTCAATCGGACTAAAAACGAATGAGATATGCTTGTTTAAACAATTTTACAGAATACAAAATTTTAATTTGTTGCTGAAAAGCTGAAATATTTCAGCTTTGATATCCCAACTTTGATTGATTGTAACTCACTGAATATAACACCAAAAACAACAAAATTATAGTCTAAAATTATCTACAAACTCTAAATTATACGTTGGAAAAACCGCATGTCAATCCGACTTAAAACGAATGAGATATGCTTGTTTAAACAATTTTACAGAATACAAAAATTTAATTTATTGCTGAAATATTTCAGCTTTGATATCCCAACTTTGATTGATTGTAACTCATTGAATATAACACCAAAAACAACAAAATTATAGTCTAAAATCATCTACAAACTCTAAATTACACGTTGGAAAAAACCGCATGTCAATCCGACTTAAAACGAATGAGATATGATTGTTTAAACAATTTTACATAATACAAAATTTTAGTTTATTGCTGAAGAGCTAAAATAATTCAGCTTTGATATCCCAACTTTGATTGATTGGAACTCATTTAATATAACACTAAAAACAACAAAATTATAGTCTAAAATCATCTACAAACTCTAAATTACAAGTTGAAAAAAATTGCATAACAATCCGACTTAAAACGAATGATATATGTTTGTTTAAAAATTTAACTTTTTTTTATAGATAAGCCGGTCCAACCGGTTTTTACCCGGAACAGCCGAACGGGACCGGACCGCCCTCAAATCCTAGAACCGAGAACCGGCCTGGGGGTCCAAAAAAACGGCACGGTCCGGTCCGGTCCGGTACGGTCCACATGTCCAAATGCTCACCCCTAGCATATGCAACCTAGAGATCTATGACTTTTCTCATTATAGCAACATACTATTGAAACTGTCACAAACCCTAACAATAATCTAAATTTATAGATAGAATTACATATGTTTAGTATTACAATCGTATGTATCACTCTTGAATCCTGAATTGCTCTTCAGAAAGCTAGCACCAAAATTATGGTTGTCTTTAATGATTCACACCCAAACCCTAGAACAATTTAGAGGAAAGATGAGGAAGGATAATTTTTGGCTATAGCTTCCTAAGGGATAATTGGCCAAAAATCCTTAGGTATAGGGTCACCTTTAGTATTACAATTGTATGTATCACTCTTGAATCCTCAGTTGCTCTTTAGAAAGCTAGCACCAAAATTATGGTTGCCTCTAATGGCTCACGTCTAAACCCTAGAAACCCTAGAACGATTTAGAGGAGAGAAGAAAAAGAGAATCTTCGGCTATTACTTCACAATGGATAGTTGCCGAAAATCCTTAGGTATAGGGTCCTATTTGTAGTTGCTAGGATACCAGTATAAACCTTAATTTGAATATTAAAATATTCAAATTTAATCAAATATCTCTATCGACTAATGGAAGCTTTCAGAACCCTTCTGGAAGAGCCTCAAAACTTTCCATCGTAGGAAGGTTCTTGAATGTTTCCATTGCTCAACTATTGAACAATTGCAATCGAACCCTTGTATCTCTAATTAATTTCAAATAATCCAAAATCAATTTCCAATTGATTCTGATTAATTCCAAATTAATTATAATCAATTTCTAATTAATTTATCAATCATATAATAAATTAATCATTTCCTTTCTTTTCTAATATTATTCTAAATTATTTCTGGATATGAGGGCAACCTAAAAAAGACTTTGTTTTTATTCATAAATATATATAAATTTAATTAAGAACTTAGACACCTTAATCCAACAATAACTCGTATACAAATACAAAGATCATTGTAGATGCTCTTCCTTTACCTTATGAATATGAAACCTACTTAAACATGTGTTAGATTCAAAATCATTGAAGAGACACATGAATTCATGAAGTCCAATAAATGCCAAAAATGCTTATAAATTTGAAACTAACTCCATCGGGTCCGTGGGGCTTTTTTGTCCCACAACTTCAAACTTCTTTCACCTCTAATATCCAAAATGTGAATCAAGGAATGAACCATGCGAACTTGTATATAGAAAATAATTAACAACGGAAATAAAGTGAAAAGGGGCAAATTTGCATATATCAATTGTTCATGAAAAAGAATTCGTAATGAAAATTTAATAACGCATGATAGTTGTCAAGCTTCAAACCCCACAAGGCCACAATTGAGGAAAACAATAATAAATTCTAATCCAAATTACCATTATAGCCTTCTTCTCTCAAGCTCAATGTGAATCTAAAATCTTGGTTACCAAATTCAGTAATAATAAGTTATCATTCATCCACAATTACACTTTTTGGTTTTTTTGGTTCGACAACGAAATGAGTTTACGTTTACAAGACCATTCTTTCCCAAAAGTTATGAAAAAATAAAAATAAAAATAATATTTTAATGATTTGAAACCTAAAACCATATAAAATCAGATAATGAACATGTGTTTTTCTTGAATCATGACAGTATTAAAGGAAGGATGTTGTAGTTACTGCTAAAATTTGATACAGTTGTATTAGAATCGTGGAGTTTTACATTGAAATAATATTCAAGAACCATGTTCAACCATGGTGGAGTAGTAATTACTGCTAAAACTTTCATTACCATGTCCATTTTGAATTCATGATCTGCCATCTTCAACCATGCTCTGTTGCTTGAGAAAGCTCTGTTGTTTTGAAATGAATGCCTCAACGGCAATCCGGAATTCTTCGTTGCTCAGCCTGTCCACCGCGTCAAATGATGTCACCGTCGACTCATCGGCGGCGGAGGTAGCGGCAATGCTAGTCACTGACCGCCTTAATTCACGACGAGGCTTCATAGAATTCTGGATCTTCAACTTATCCGATTGAGTTCTCTGAAATCTCTCTATCTGCTTCGCCGCCTGCTTGATTACCATTACAGTTGTCACTTCTGACTCCGTTTTGACGATTGCTTTCTCATTTTGAATCTTCCGATCACGACTTTCCGCCTCTACCGCTTTCTTTGTGATCGGTGATTCAATCACAGGCGACGGCACCGGTTTAGGATTTGGAGTGTCTACGGTTGTTTTCTGATGATTTAACTGATTGTATTTACCGTCGTCGTTGTCAATTCCAGAACCACCGGATTCGTTTCCGGCTTCCGTATGACGTGAAAGAACATAACAAACAACGACAATTACATTTCCGAGTAGAAAAACAACGTGTTGATTCATCAAGTAAGACGAAAATGCCAACAGATACTCGCCGGAGAATTTTAGAACTGTAGGAAGGCGAGTAGACGACCACGAAATCAAAGCAATCGCGAAGAAAACTTCAACTAACTGAAAAAACTTCGCCATATTTGTAAACCGTCTGTATCTCGCAAGCGCATTGGCCTTCTCCGCTTTAACAATGTCAACAAAATCATAAGAATCCATATCTTCTTCCTTCTCAATGAACGAAAATCAGATGTAATCAAAAAGCAAAGAACAGATTACAATTTACAAGTAGGAAATTAGGGCAGTGAGATTGAAGGAGAAAGAAAAAACACATAGACAGAGATGGAAGTGTGTGTTTCAGAATTCAGAGGGTTGAGTGGGCCGATGGAAAGGTTCAAAATGATGGTACGAATTTATAAAGACCGAGCCACGCGTGTGAGGGTGCCGCCGTGCTGGGGTGGTGGTGGTGGTCGCACAACTGACAACCCTACCAATACCAATACCAATTTAAATAATTTTACCTACCCCACCTCATACATTTTTATGTTTTATATTTCTATTTGATAGTTATTTTCTTTTATAATGGATTAAACAATGTATCAATATGTATAAACATTTATGACAATTTAATATATGTGTGTATCTTACGACATTTGAATTATTATGTATATCATGTAAGACCGAAGGGAATTGTTTCGGTAAGGGCTTGGCAATGTTGAGTTGGCTTATCAAACAGTGTTTCAAGAGTTTGGCATGTCGAGTTTGAGCATCCAATTCGATTGAAAATTCTAGCACTCTCTTTTATCTTTAGTCAAACTTTGACCGTTTTTAATATCTAAATTTAAAAATTTTACATGTTTTCTCCTATGATATATATACATTAAAGTCCCAATATTTTCAACTATTTGACAAAAAGTCTTAAACTTTATTTTTTTGACAACAAAATCCTAACTATCGGCAGTTTTTGACACGCTTATCCTTTTTTGCCGGTTAGCCGGTAATTAGGACTGTACTGTAAAAAAAATAAAGTTTAGGACTTTCTTGTCAAATCGTTGAAAATATTGAGACTTTAGTGTATAGTCTTGGTTTCCCTATAAACAAATAATTTTATCAGCCTCGTGAGACCCAAATCGTAGCCCAAGAACTTTTAATTGTGATTTTAGCCGCAACATCACTGTTTTTCTTACCATCATCATTTTTACCCTGCTACAGTCACGATCAGGAGAAACATATGCAAAAGAGAGAGCGAAAGAGGGTGAGAAGACTTGTAAAACTTTCTTCTTGGTTCGCCGCCAAATCTTAAACTGAAAAGAGGAGATAGATTGTACAAACATAAACAACACACGCCTAGTCAAAAGGGTGTGAATGTGAAGAAGGGTTAAGAAGGGCAGCGTCTTTTCCGGTTTCTTAGTTCTTCATTTTTAGGACTGCAAAAAGCCAACACAACCCTGGTTCTTTGTTTCTTTCTTGATTATCTCCATTTTTGCCAATGTCGGTTTGTTGAGATTAAAAAAAACTATTTAACAAGAAGCAAATGTTAAGGATTTCAATAAAATCTAGCTGACCAGAGCAGGTTCCAATAACTCTAATGCTTAAAAACTATCATACCATTAAATTTCTAACAAAAAAGGGGATATATACACTAAAATATCAATATTTTCAACGATTTGACAAGAAAGTCTTAAAGTTTATTTTTTTGAAAGTAAAGTCTTAATTCACAATTTGACAAGAAAATCCTAAACTTTATTTTTTTTATAGTAAAGTCCTAATTACCGGCTAACCGACAAAAAATGGTAAGAATGTCGAAAACTGTCGGTGGTTAAGAATTTACTGTCAAAAAAATAAAGTTTAAGATTTTTTGTCAAATCATTGAAAATATTGGGACTTTAATGTCTATATCCCTTTCTCCTATTTAAATACAAACAACTACTATCGATTCTTACCATTTTCAAATCTTTATTTTTCAAGCCTTCAACACTAATTATACCTCTCTTGATCCCATCTTAGCAAAATGGATGGTCCAAACAGTGGGAAATCCATGATGAGACCATGGATCCCAATAGAAGATATGATTTTGGCCTGTGCAAGTATCAAAGGACCATGTCGTTGACAATGCACTCGATGTGTGAATTTTTTGGACGAGAATTAACATATTTTTTCTCACCAAATTAAATCAAGGTAATTGTAGATCACATCATTTTGCAAGGTCTTTGTATCAGAAGACCATGCTGGAAAATTTAAAGAGTTTTGTTTAAAATGATGTGATCTACATCATTTTCATCATCATCTTTCCGGGTAGAAAGCATAAAAGTTTTCAAGTATTTGTAGATCACATCATTAAGGTGCTGTTTATTTTTTGTCAAAAGCTCTTCATAACCTTTTTGTCTGTGTCGTGCAGATGTTTGTTTTTGAAGACCGTTTGTTTTTCAGAAAACCGTAAACAGATAAAGATTTATATGTCTTCTTCTTGGAGCAGACTTTGACCAACATCTTCCCACTTCTTTAAACCTCTTCTAGCTAAAAACAAACTAACGCCTCTTTAAATAAAACAAGGAATAGGACTTTGCCACCAAAGAACTTCGTCGTATTACAAATGTAATACGTATGATTAAGGATCAAAAGAAATAAAACAATTATTTTATGGGTTCCTTCTTTTTGTATGTTTCTAAAATATCATTATTATTTAAATACATAATGACAATAGTTTTATAATTATCAACCGTAAACATTGTTCTTTTTCTTTTCAAACTCTTGTTTTTCGCTGATCCTTTTTTTTCTGTTTTTCTTTTGCTCACCCATCTAAAATAAGGAGAAAATAAATAAATAAATCATGAGCAACAAAATTAATAACTTACGAAAAAAAATTAATGCCTAACTTTTTGATATAGAATTATTTGGAATATTCATTTTAATTTCTTATAAAAAAATTCACACCTTGTTGTTTGTATAAAAATGTATATGCTAGTTTTTTCTCTTTTCTAAATCTTAATTGCAATTTATGTTTTAATTTCATATAATTTTTTATTTTCTTGGTCCTCGATCATAATTAGATGCTACATATTCTAGATAAGAAAGTCAAAAATCAATTTATTTTAGCAGTCTGTAGACTTTAAAAAACAATCAGTCTTCTTCTTACAGACTATAGACATTTGGTCCACTTCTTTTTCAGCAGATGTCTATAGATATGGTTTGTAGACTGCAAATATTTTACCTTTTAAAAACAAACATCACCTGATTGTTATTTTAGTGTTATGTTTTATTTTAACTAACATAATCAGTTCTAAGAAATATAATCAAAATTTGTGTAGTTTCTTCTATAATGATAGCCTTTTTTAGAAAAAAAAAACACTTTTAATAAAACCCAACGTGGAAACTTGCGACTGCTTGAAACCATAACACAAATTGTTATAAGTTCACGCACATATCACTTTCATAAGAAATATCGAAAATAGTACGGAGATCAACAGTTCGTAAATTTGTAATATTATTTAAGGAAGTAAAAGATCAAATTGTAATAAAAAATAATGGAAAATGGTTATTTAACCTACATAAAATGATCATTATTTTCAAAATAAGTATCTTTAGAATTGTTTTTCTAGCATTATATTTGGCGAATAACCTACATTTTTTCACATACATTTCACATAAAAAAAACAAAACAAAAACAAAACAAAACAATATAATATATAACGGTATTTTCATGAAATAAAAATTTACAAAATTAACTAATATAATCATTTTTAAGAAATATAACCAAAATTTGTGTAGTTTAATGACAATCTTTTTTTTTTTTTTTTGGAAAAAAACAGTTTCAATAAAATCCAACATGGAAACTCGTGAGAGCTTAAAATCATAACACAAATTGTTATAAATTCGCGCAAATATCACTTCGTAAAAAATATCGAAAATAGTGTGGAAATCAAGTTTGTAAATTCGCAATATTATTTCGGAAAGTAAAAGATCAAAATAATAAAATAATGGAAAATGGTTACTTAATTTATTATTTATTCAAAGAGTATTTTTATTTAAATCAGACACTTCCGAAGATGGTCTATCATTTTGATGAAGATACAAAGAGATATTGATTTGCTTTGTAAGTAATGTTGTGCTATCCAGATCCAGCCATCTCTTATTGAAAATCGAAGGATATTACCTTTGGTCCCTTATGAAGAGGAGTTTATCACTTCTTACTAAGTAAGCCACCAAGTGACGTTTTATTTGATCTACTATAGCTTCAATAGTTTTTTGGGGTTGATATTCATTTTGTTACCATTAAGAAAAATCTTGTACATCCTACAACTGCCATTGTCATTTGTGTTTTTACCCTTGGCAAGTAAGTGGCATGGGTGAATGGAGCTAATATGGAAAAAGAGTACAAGCTCAAGGTGTAAAAAAATATTGTTTGGTTGCACTTGGTAATGAAATGTAACATAACATCATTTCATGAATTTCTAGTATTTTGAAAAGTTGGTTCTATTGTATTCACTCAAGATATGAAATTATGGATATAGCCCATTCTTCCTTCTAGTTTTGTTCCCCGTGCATTGATTTCCATCAACTTTTTTGGAATCAATTTTTTTTCTTTGTTTTTTGATCTTTATAGTCATCTTTGATTATGCATGAGAGGTAATTAGCAAGAAAGTAGGATGTCATTGCTCTAATTAAAAGAGGGATAGTGAACAATTTTCAAAAGCATGATATTAATTTTTTTCATATTTCTAAGCAGTTGAAATGAAAAAGTGTTTGATATTCGATCAAGTGGGATATTATTTGTGCATGTATCTAAAATCACAATTAGATATAAGTGTTTAAATGAATATCAAACTTGTCATAGCAACATGTAACTAAGGTCTCAATATGTTTTCTTTAACATTAAGGATGTGGGGATTTATATTACAAGTGATGTAAAGTCGGGAATTAACATAGTCTTTCTTTTTACCATAAATAGAATTTTAAATAACACAACTACACAAATCAATGTAAGATGGTTTAGCACCATACAAATTTGGACCACTTTCGTCAATTGCCCATCTTTCTAGCATTAATTTATGCCCCCTTCGTAGCTTTGCCTAAGAGGGTCAATTATTTGACAAAATAGCTAAAATTGCACTTATACAATTGACAATGACCATGGAATATGGATAATATTTCTTAGTTTCATATATCGTTTATCTTCTTTCAAACTTCTGAAACTATAACACATTTATACACACAAGCTA